CCCCCCCCCATACGTCAATTCAAAGGTCATTCAATTTTCCCGCGAAATAAGCCAATTTCCTCTGGATTTGCCTCCACATTATATCAGTAAGGTCAAAATCAGTTTAACATTACGTTGGCAAGTCCCTGAATTTCGGGAAAAGTTAAAAAAACGAAATTTAAGGTGATTAAAATTGACCGTTAAAATTTCGTTTTTTTAACTTTTCCCGAAATTTGGGGACTTGCCAACGTAATGTTAAACTGATTTTGACCTTATTGAGATAATGTGGAGGCAAATCCAGAGGAAATTGGCTTATTTCGCGGGAAAATTGAATGACCTTTGAATTGACGTATTTGGGGGTCCGAGCCCCCCCTTAAAATTAAATCGAAGTGATTTCTGCAATTTATACGTGAAAGCGAACACAATTTGGTAAATTTTCCCGTTTTATTTTTTTCTTTACGATAATTTGAACCGGAGTTATGATTTATTGAAAATAGGTAAAATTTGACCTTTGACCTATCGTAACTCGGTCAAAAATTGAGATATTGATCTGTGGTTAGCGCCAAAATTCTTAGTTTTTTATGCACTTTCGAATGAGGTATCACAAGATAGGGGTTGCTATTTGAAAAAAAAAAGTTGGGGGGCCCCTGTCCCCCCCCCCCCCCCCCCCCCNCCCCCCCCCCGTGGGGGAGACCAAAATTTTGACCCCCTCAAAAGATGGTCATAAGATGGTTGAGATAGAAACATTCCCAAAGTTTCTTTTCCCTAGTTCAATTCGTTCAAAAGTTAGAGGGGGGGTCGGGGACTTTTCGCTCACCCTGTAAAATGCAGATCATATCATTCAAATGCATACGTATTGCTGTTGAGTGTACGTCTTCTAGTCAGGGGGCATACGTAATAAAACATATGTCCCGTGTGCAGATTCGTGAAGGCATATTGTGTGATATCCATTGTGTGATATCCATCTCCATTGCATTTATATAGTCACTAATCATGCGATCGTAACGTATGAAAAATCAAGGGTTTTGAGTTTTGCTAAATGTGCTCTACGAAGAACAGCCTCCAAATACTGAAATAATCACGCGGTTTTCTGTGATGTTAGGCAATAAAATATGGCAACACAGGTTTTCCTTTTTTTTTTTGGGGGGGGAGGCTTTAATCCATTAATTTTTTGGAGGACAGTTATGACCAGCTGCGTACATTTTGCACCAATGAATCTATTTCTGGTTTAAGATGAGTCGCCCTTTTTATGCCATTTTAAATAATGATGAAAAACAAGAAAATTCTAAGAAGATCGTTTTAACTCTGAGCGCAAGGTTTGCCATCAACGAAAATTGGGCAAAGTGGCTATCTTACATCCTTAATGAACGTACTTGAAGGACAACAATCTCCTCCGATGATGGGATCGTTAAGAAACAGCGTCACGTCGAATGTAAAAAAACCCGCATTTTTCGCCAAAATCGGCCTTTCGTCTCATGTTTAGGCCGGTATTAGACCCCTAAATAGACCGGAAATGACCAAATCATTTTACATTCCGCAAACTTTAGACTTTAAATGAGCAAACAATCGTGAAATTGAAGAATTTCAGGGTATGGGCCCAACAACGGCCCTTATCGAAACCCCTCCTCCGGCAAATCTCTTAATATCAGTCATTTACCGGTCTGCGCCTTTAACTGGCAACAATGTCGGCAGCGATTTTCGATTCGGAGGCTTAATTTTTTGTAGGAGTAAACATCTGATCTCCTATTCGAACTTCTTGACCCGAGAAACTTAATTTTGAATGTATTGTTTGTTATAGCTGCCTTAAATGGCAGTTTCATCCGCAAGACCGGCGGCCATTTTGGGCGCCATCTTTGATTTCAGGGCTTCTTGAGAGCCGCAGCGGAAAATGGACCTCATTTTCGGACTCTACGACCCTGAAAATCTAATAATTGATACCTCACAATGCATGTAGACCCGAGTAGGCAAATTAGTACCCGTAAGAGGTATTTTTGGACGCCATCTTGAATTTTGGCCTAAAAATGACCTTTGGGCTAACTTTTGACTAAAAATTCGGATTCTACGATCAAAAATTCATAAGAAACGACACCCGACACGACGTATTTGCAAACTTTAAATTTTTTTACCCCAAAACCGCCATTTTGGCCGCCATCTTGAATTTGGGGGGGTTTGTATGAAATTTGAGATGGCCATCATCGATTTTCTTTTTCTAGACATCAAAACGAAGAGATTGATGTATCACACAATATGCCTTCTCGAATCTGCACACGGGATTACGTATGCCCCCTGACTATTCATCTCGAGGAGGGATCACGCAAGAAACGAAAGAGTGCGTGAGATCATCATAGAGTACATAGAGTCGAAATGTAAGCGGGTGAGCTGGCGCCGATTTGAAGCATTTTCCAGGTCCCGAATTTCGAGACTCCTGTGTGACGCCGGGCCACTTTTTCGATACATAATCGATTGTTTGCGATACACGGGTACCCGGCCATCCGATGTAAACAAAGAAGATTGGAATCACCACGTATTCCATACCGTCATTTTGGATCGAATATGTATCGAAAAAGTGACCCGAACTCGGCGCACACCGGGCTCGGAACTCGTCGAGCAGAACATGGCGCCAACTCTCCCATTCACATTACGACTCTATGTACTCTATGCAGATCATGAGCGCCGAGCAGAACATCGGGCATGATATTATAACCGAACAGCTTGTCCGGTGTGGCCATGCTCAACGAAAGGCGGATGACAGATTTCCTAAGAAGGGTCTAGATTGGGTCCCTCCGAAAAGAAGACGTAAGGGACATCCAGCAAAATCGTGGATCGGTGGCATTAAAGATGAAATTATAAATATCGCAAAGGACGCCACGCCGCTGAATTTCGGGGTTCTTGTCTTCTCGGAGTATGATGTTTCCTGTCTCAACTACCTATGTGATTCGAAACATCGCATACTTCGATCCCGCGGGTATTCGTATCCAGTGGCGTGGCGTGAATGATCGATTATCGAAATTTTCCCATCTGAAGCTATGTTAAAGAATCCATGATTAAGCTTTTCGTTGCGAACACCCTGTACAGTGTACATAGATCCTCGTCCATAGGTTTAAATGGCAGATCAATCGATTTATCGCAAAAAATATCTCTCCGTCTTTCAATCCCTCTATCGAATACCTCCTATCGTAATCGGTTGTCCAAAGCGTTGCTTACAAACTTTATATTTATTTTGTTCAGGATTTTGAATGGAGAATGCCGACGCCAAAAATCTAACGGAAAGAGCACTCAGCACTCAGCACACCTGAAGACTACAATCCAGTGATTCCACCAAACTGTAAAAGAGGATCCCCAGGGAGACTTGTCGAGGATTGATTGCACGAGCCCTTCAATGCAGGCTGTACCTGAAGCGTGCACCAGCACGGAGTTTAGCAGTATGTCTGGCAACCCATCTTCCCAATCCGTAGAAAGTCGCCTTGAAGATTCCAACAATACCCGACTTGCATTAGTAGAAGAGAACCAAGCGACCTCGGTCTCGTCCATCTTCGATTCTCCCTCCGCTCTTCCCCCCAAAATCGAATGCGAGGATGAAAAAGTTGATGCAAGTTGGACTAACCAGCTACACACAAGTATTGACATTAAGAGTGAACCCACTCCTCAAACGGATGAGTCAGAACTCAGGTTGGGACGAGGAGGAGCAGAACACGATTTGGAGAATGATATTCGTGATTTTGTCCCCAAAACAGCGCGAGTGAAGAGGGAGATCATGAGCTCTCCACTTCCCGACCAATGTAATGAAAATGGGCTTGACCTATCTCTCACGAATATCGAAATTAAGAGGGAACCCCCTTCCCAAACAATCGAATCGGAATCAAAGTCAGTCGAACATATTAGAACGCAAGCTGGTGAGTTATCATTCACATGCGGCGAGTGTTCGAGCCTTTTTTCTTCTAAAAGCGCTTTAACCACACACATGCAAACGCACCCTGGCGAGGAACCATTCAGTTGCAGTCATTGCTCCTCCCAATTCAGTAGAAAAGGCAATTTGGCGAGACACATGCGAACGCATACTGGTGAGAAACCATTCAGTTGCAGTCATTGCACGGCCTTCTTCGCTCAAAAACAGTCTTTGACGGCACATATTCGCACGCATACTGGTGAGAAACCATATAGTTGCAGTCATTGCACAGCATGCTTTGCCCACAAACATTCTTTAACGGCACATATTCGCACGCATAATGGTGAGAAACCATTCAGTTGCAGTCATTGTACGGCATGCTTTATTCACAAACATTCTTTAACGGCACATATTCGCACGCATAATGGTGAGAAACCATTCAGTTGCAGTCATTGCCCCTCCTCGTTCCGTAGGAAAGTGGATTTGAAGGTACACATGCGAACGCACACTGGCGAGAAACCGTTCAGTTGCAGTCATTGTACGGCATGCTTTACTCGGAAACATTCTTTAACGGCACATATTCGCACGCATAATGGTGAGAAACCATTCAGTTGCAGTCATTGTACGGCATGCTTTACTCAAAAACATTCTTTAACGGCACATATTCGCACGCATAATGGTGAGAAACCATTCAGTTGCAGTCATTGCGGGGCATGCTTTGCTCAGAAAAAATATTTAAGGGCACATGCTCGCACTCACACTGGGGAAAAACCATTCAGTTGCAGTCATTGCTCCGCATCTTTTGCTCACAAACATTCTTTAACGGTACATCTTCACACGCATACTGGTGAGAAACCATTTAGTTGCAGTCAATGCACGGCATGCTTTTCTCAGAAAAGTAATTTGATAATTCACATCCGGACGCATAATGGTGAGAAACCATTCAGTTGCAGTCATTGCCCCTCCTCGTTCCGTAGGAAAGAGGATTTGAAGGTACACTTGCGAACGCACACTGGCGAGAAACCATTCAGTTGCAGTCATTGTACGGCATGCTTTACTCGCAAACATTCTTTAACGGCACATATTCGCACGCATAATGGTGAGAAACCATTCAGTTGCAGTCATTGTACGGCATGCTTTACTCACAAACATTCTTTAACGGCACATATTCGCACGCATAATGGTGAGAAACCATTCAGTTGCAGTCATTGCGGGGCATGCTTTGCTCAGAAAAAATATTTAAGGGCACATGCTCGCACTCACACTGGGGAAAAACCATTCAGTTGCAGTCATTGCTCCGCATCTTTTGCTCACAAACATTCTTTAACGGTACATCTTCACACGCATACTGGTGAGAAACCATTTAGTTGCAGTCAATGCACGGCATGCTTTTCTCAGAAAAGTAATTTGATAATTCACATCCGGACGCATACTGGAGAGAAACCATATAGTTGCAGTCATTGCTCCTCCTCGTTCCGTAGGAAAGTGGATTTGAAGGTACACATGCGAACGCACACTGGCGAGAAACCGTTCAGTTGCAGTCATTGTACGGCATGCTATACTCGGAAAGATTCTTTAACGACACATATTCGCACGCATAATGGTGAGAAACCATTCAGTTGCAGTCATTGTACGGCATGCTTTACTCAAAAACATTCTTTAACGGCACATATTCGCACGCATAATGGTGAGAAACCATTCAGTTGCAGTCATTGCCCCTCCTCGTTCCGTAGGAAAGAGGATTTGAAGGTACACTTGCGAACGCACACTGGCGAGAAACCATTCAGTTGCAGTCAATGCACGGCATGCTTTTCTCAGAAAAGTAATTTGATAATTCACATCCGGACGCATACTGGTGAGAAACCATTCAGTTGCAGTCATTGCCCCTCCTCGTTCCGTAGGAAAGAGGATTTGAATGTACACATGCGAACGCACACCGGCGAGAAACCATTCAGTTGCAGTCATTGTACGGCATGCTTTGCTTACAAGCAGTCTTTATTGGCACATATTCGCACGCATACTGGTGAGTAAGCATTCATTTGCAGTCTTTGCACCGCATGCTTCGCTCACAAACAGTCTTTAACGGAACATGTTCGCACGCACACAGATGAGAGACCGTTCAGTTGAAGTCATCGTTCGGCTTTCTTCTCCAAGAATGTGACTTTAAAGAGACATATGCGAATGCATACTGGGGTAGAACCCTAGACTTGCAATCCCTGCTCATCCCCTTTTCGGCAAAAGACGCATTCGACGGAGCATACTGCGGTCAGAGACAAGAGACCCTTCACTGACTTCTTGGCGACAAGAGGAAGCTTTTACTTTCGGGGATTGAACAATACCATATGAACAATGATAAGGAAGCAACAGTCATCACTCAAATTTCGGCTTTTGACCTGCCTATATGGTGGATGATGAGCTTCGGGTGACGTCATGAGCCAAACAAGTTTCCCAAACTTCCGCCATTTCCTGATTGTTTGCAAAACGGAACTGCCAACACGTTGTTGAACATCAACCATGTAAGTAAGCCCCGAATATAAAATTTTCCAACATGGCCAAGATACTGGTGGAGGGTCTTTTGTTCCTGACTGCTATAAACCATACATTTTCACTCAGTGCTCTTCCGTCTTGTCCAGGAAAAGTCCTTTAAATGGACGCATACGACACACACCAATCGTGGATCTTTTAGTTGTAGGCATGGCTCTGCTTAGTTTTCTGAAAAAGGCTCTCCAGTGGTAAATATTCGATCGCTTTCTGGATAAAAAACCATAATTTTGATGATCAAACTATAAGTTGAGACCATACAGATGACGTCCTTCGTATTTTTGCCATTCTAGCATTGTTTATCGTAAGCACCTACATTTGTTATGGAGTTCTTCTCCACACTCCCCGGCTGTCGTGCGACTCCGAGTTCATCGTAAATTTTATAGAGGAAACACGTCGCTCATTGCTCTAATTCCTGTCTTGGCTAGAGGCCCAAGACCTATTGAGTATGAAAGCTTGTTCCTATTTTTGCCTCTTTCCGACGTTATTTTCTCTTCATCGTATTTTCAAAGAGAATATATTGCAGATATTTCCAATTGATTTTTCGAACACCTACATCTTTATGAGCGCTGTGAAATCTCCCGTTATTTTATCAACTTTATAATTAATCCTACCTCTGAAACTCCGGAACATAACAGAAAATCCGAAATTCATATTATTTTTGTTAAACTATTTTTGGAATTCGGATGAGATTTCTCTATCGTAATTGATAAGGCAATGTCTAATATTTGGAATGCATTTTGTAATCAGGAATTACAGCGTTTGGCTCATCTATGATAACACCGATGTGCATAGAGGAACCAATGGTTCATAAATAGTTGTTTCTAAACTGAGCCCGGAATTTTAGCTCCGAATTGCAAAAATTAGTCCAAATGTGGTCCCGCGCGAAGGAAGAATGGCGTTTGAACCTCTAGAAGTTGCCTTATCTCCTTTGATGAAATATGAATTTTGAAATGAGCCCTACCATGCCTATATTCTTGTGAATTTCAGGGCTTATTTGAGAGCTACCATAATTCCTTTTGATTTAAATAGCCCCATTGGTCAGTTGCAGTGGTCACATCATTGTGTTTTGATGCTTCATTCTTGCAGATTAGCTAAAAATATTACGATCTGTCACAACAGCAACTTTCTACCTTCAACATTAACCGAGGTGTCGGCCCTCGAAAATCCGGGTTTTTGACGTCATCCACCGCGGTAGTGACACCCTTGGTTTCCCCCGTCTTGCTTTCATCAGTCAGGGAGACACAAATTTGCACTGGTCATACTCAACATGAAACTTGGATGAAAGCAAGTAGAAGAAACCAAGGGTGTCACTACCGAAGTGGATGGCGCCAGAAACTCGGCTTTCCAATCGGCGATATCTCGGTTAATCTTAAACGTAGAAAGTTGCTGTTTGGGCAGATATTATTATTTTCAGCTATCTGCAAAAATCAAGCGTGAAAACACGATTCTGTGACCAGCGCGACTGACTCATTTGAGAGAACTCCCTTAGAAATCACCAGAAGCTTCCAATCCTATTTACTGCCCAGCCAAAGGGGTTGAATTGGATCGCATGTAGCGAAAAGGAACCAGCGCGCTTACAGTGTTTTAGAAATGTTGCTGCTTCATATGTATCTAAGAAATCTCCCAGAAAATCAAATAGTGTTGGCTTCTCACCAAAATATTGCTTATTTTAAAGGAAATTAATTGCGTAAGTTTTAATACTGAATATTGTATTAAGTGTTTTTGAAAGAAAAAGAAAAGTTGCTCGCCTTCGAAAACACCTTAATCGCGCTGGTTCCTTTTTGTTGCTAAATGCGATCCAATTCCCGAAGGGCCTAAAAATGGGCTACATAGACTTTACTTTATCTATAAGATTTGGGCCCAAAGGGCCTAAATCTTATAGATAAAGTGAGGGTCAGTTTCGTCAAAAATTGTCAAAATTTTCTGGATCTTTTTTCTGCAAATTTTTAGACTCTGTCTCTCGAATAAATGACGCAATTTTCTGGGTCGTTTAAGACGTAGCTTTGTAACTGATATTTTGTTTCTAATGCGAAAAGAATGATATGAATATGCCCATTATTCGCTAGATCTCTGGTGAAAACCTATCATTTTCTCGTCGTTTCTGTATTTCCACATGTTTCTGTGCGAATGTGTGTCCATTTTGTATCTCTAATAAAGTTGTAGATAAAAAAGTCCATTTAAATTTATGACTTGTCTCCGGCAATACTGTAATTTAGATTTTACACTCATTCATCCTAGTCGAGAGGGAGCGGGAGCCTCCATCGTCCTTCGAGCGAAGGATCAATTTTCGATTTTCCCCCATTTGAAGCTATGGTAAAGAATCGATTTTTGAAGTGATCTTTGCGAACATACTGTTTGTCGAGCTTTCTCCACAGGTTAAAATGGCAGATCAATGGATATATCGCAAAGTACGCCACGCCACTACTGGTTGCCGTTAGTACATTTTTACTCGTAGTGTCTCTTCTTTCCATCGTAACCACCAGCTTCCGCCAAAAGGATTGCTTTTAGTATTATTGTTGATTTTTCCCTAATCGATCAAATCGAAAGCGTCGATTGTGTTAAAAAAAATCGATTATTTGCAGAAAAATCAAGGCCAAAAAATCAGGTTTCAAGAAAATGGCTCTGAATAAAAAATCGATTTTTAGAATGAGTATTGTGCCGTTCGTTTTCATTCAATGCTCGCCTGACTGAGCGTTGAGTTTCATTGCCCCTTAAATTGGGCAACTTTGATGATTGCTCCAAGTTTTGAAGAATAATTAAGGCTTGTTGCCTCCTTCATTACTCAGGAGTAATATTTTTTCCTGTAAAAAATCGAAAACTTTCAATTTGTGAGTACATAAGCGATTAGTTGCAAAATCGCGTGCTGAAAATCGATTTAATTTAATCGACTATTCCGTGCAAAAAATCGATATCTTCAGAAAATCGAAGAAAAAATCAACAGCACTAATTATTTTATTTTCGGTTTTTCTTTTTTGCCTGTTTAAATGTCTCTTTGTCTGTATAAATTTCAAATTTCAGTCTCCAGGATGATGAGATTGCTAAGAAGATAAAACGCATAGCCCGGATGGTTTCGAAGTCCTGTGCAAAATGACTATTTTTTGCATGGGAGGTGGACGTTTCCGCACACTTTTGCGAAAATCGTCCAAACAAAATTACTACTTCACAACACCGCATTATTCGCTTTCCCTCCGTAGGTAAAGCGTGTGAAGGACTAGAGGGGCTCTACCAAATATATGGGTTTGGTCGACAAATAGTTTCATAGTAATCAACTCTGCTATTTAGGAAAAAAGTAAAATTTTGGGACTGATTACCCCCCTTTCCTTTCCTTATTAAAGCTCCTCCCTGCCCACCCAAAGAAGCTGGTATTACTCAGGGTTCAAAGGGCCCCGCAACAGCTTAGGTAAGTCTAAAGAAATCTCCCTAAAAAAACCATTCTTCATCGGAATCGCCGACATCAAAATCTTCTTCTGGTTCCCCATCATCGTTATCGCCTTTATCCGAGATCCACACTTCTCAGATAGCTTCCAAAAATACGATAATCTCAATTCATTTCGCACATACAGAGGCTCCAGGCAAAGTAAATCTGGTTAATTTATCGGACGGCAGTGAGGCAAGTATACAATGTTGCCAAATATTCATTTATTTTAGCAATTTCCAAAAAAAGTGTGCGGAAACGTCCTGCAGCCTTTTTCATAACTTCAAGACGACTCGATACTGCACTCTCCCAACCTAGAGTGAATTCTTTCCTTGGAAATTCATACACCGTGTCGTCTACGATGTCGTGATAGCGAAGAGAGCCGCAGAGTGGATTGAGTCAATAAATTAGGTCGCACATGAAAGAGCGACGCCAAGAATGGCACAATTTGGGCCAGAAGGGATTTTTCTGAAACCGGGCCCAAACAATACCTTATGATACCTTAAAACTCTGGTAAAAATTTTAGCTTGAGTATACGCACCGTTTTTGAGAAATTGGGGGGGGGGGCAAAGTTGCCAAATCGCCATCATTCTGGACAGCATTTTTACAGCAAAAAGACGGGAAAAATGGACGAAAAATTTACACTATTGATGGGTTTGGGCTGTAAATGTTCTTATTGAGCCCCCGTGCATGTAACTGTGTTCAGTTTCAAAAATTTTGGACGTACAGTGGTCCAAAATGGGGAGAAATCTTGGACAGATAAGGATTCTTTGTCAAACTTTTTAAAAATGGAAGTAAAATTGTTGGTCTCCTGCAGAGATCATGTGGAACAATGTTCTTATCGATCTTCAATGCATTCAATTGGGTTCAGTTTATTAAATTTTCATCGCACAATGGTCCAAAATAGGAATTAGTGGACAAATTAAGATCTTCTGTTGAAATTTTTGAAAAATAACATGAAACTATGAGGTTTTTCACTAGATTCGAAAGGTGTAAATTCAAAATAAGTTAGTAGCCAATAAAAGCTATCCATGTTCACTGTTTTGAACTGAACAGGCGAGCGGTGCCGGACACAGGAGCTGTCAGCAATAGATTTCGGGTGCACTGCAGATTGCGAAACGACGGGTGGCGCGACTGCGGATTGCACAGGAGTTAGGGCGCTCGTATGATGTAAACAAACTTTGGCCGCGAGATTGAAGAATTGAATCTCTGAATTGAATCGGACATCTGAGGAACTAACGAACAGTTTGTGGGCTGTAAAAATTGACGACCTGTAATACAGATGGACAAGATTCTAAAAACTCTCTGACTTTTAAAAAGAGGTGGCGGGGGATTCAAAACAAGTTGATGCTGTACATGCTAAAGTAGGTTTTATATATGAAGCGGAAAATTTATTAAAAATTAGAAATTTAGAATATATTGACCCATCAAAAACTAATTAGCAATAAATGTATATACATGAATTATGGTTTGTGTTGTAACGTCACCATCAACTGGTACCCTGGGATGTGACCTGAAAATGCCATTATCAGGACGTCATCCAAGGATGACTCCATGACGTCATCAACGAGACTCGTTTCCATCGACGTCATCGACATGTGCCTCCATGACGTCATCAACGGATGAGTCTATGGCGTCCTTGATGGGTGTCCCGATGACGTGATCGGGGGGGGGGG